AACCTTACTGAGAGACGAGTTAGATATCAGGTAAAAAGTAGCTAATAAACCAAAACAGAAGCTGAGTGAAAAAGACAATGCATTAAGATAACAATCAAGACAATGCCGAATATTTCAAATTAAAAAAGAATAATTTTATATCAAGCATTTGTAGAAAACTATGAGGGCAACAGAAGTAGAGTAGCATCGTTATAGTAACGATCAACGAGACTGTCAAGAGCGGTGGTACTATGACGTGAAGAACCAAGATAATGAGTTCAAAAACTCGAACACAGTTAATCAAAGTCGACAAAAAAATTTTAAACGAAAAACAAGTGGTAAAGTTAGGATAAATAAAATGGACCGGTGACAGTCGCTTACTGGTATTGAGCAGCGTTTGGCAGCCAGCATCACGGCGTGGGTTCCTGTAGCTGCCTTAAGGGTGCCATCTGAGTAGATAGCTTGACAATCAACAATAACCTATGTTTTAACATATTCAAAAGATAATTACCTTATTAACCCTTGACATAAGGCCAAATGCGTGGCTATCAGGCACAAGAATAACCGAAACATTGTCTTTAGAGAGAACTTCTGCCATTTCGTGTCCCTAAAAAATGGCCGAAAGAAGTGCTTACACTATTTTCTGGGTAGCTTTCACACACCATGACTTTGAATATACGTCCCCTTTTCGCGGCGGTCTAAGGAATAAAATACAAAAAGAAAAGCAAAACTTTTAAAAATTGATAGACGGCTTTAGAATAGCCTATTGTTAATATTAGTTCGTCAGAATGGATGAAATCAAGAGACAAGCCGGATATAGACTCATATACGGATGTTAGCTCAAGAACAAGGTCAGAAATTGCAGCAAGAATAGATTCGCGTAGACTGCAGCCAGACGCATTGGAATAGTCCACATCCCCAACAGCAAAAAGCCGATTCTTTCCGATAAGCAATTAACCAGAAATACCGTTAAATTTTCCTCAAACTCTGCATGAATACCTTGAATACATCTAGAAGTGACAGGAGCGATGACTTACTTAAGCGCCTCTTCTCTAATAAGTTTTAAAACTCTAAGGATAGTTGCAAGAAATAAAGTATCTCTTTGTGTCTCCGACATCATTTTTTTGCCATGATTAGATAAAATGTCGATCAGTTTCCTAAGGAATGCAAAATTGTATTCGAATACTTGGCATTTTCCCATTCATTTTGCCTCACGATAGCCTCTAATTCTTCGATACATTTAAGAACCTTTTTTAAAGAGCTAAAAAATAAATAAGCTAATGATGGTGGGATACTCGTGATCTTGGTACGAAGACGTAAGCGCAAGCGTGATATGAGGCTTGGAGATTTGCATTTTGCGTCCATAAATTATATGCTGAATATAAGTTTTTATAAGCTAAAACCTATTCTGATAATATTAACTTGATAAATTTGGCTGATTTAATATATGCTGGATTTGTGCGTTTATGACAGACGCGCTCGATGTGCTCTCTATTTTTGCGACTGGTACGCGAGCCTCATTGCACGTCTGGCCTACATACTAGTGCTGCTTTACTTAAAAATAGCAGAGTGGCGACAGTTCGTAAAAGTCCAAATGTAGTAACTCACGTAACATATGAACAGACGAGAAGACCCCACCAAATTGGGGTTATGAAATCATGGAATTCTTGGCACACAGGAAATCTTCACGAAGAGCAGAATAGTGCTCTTTTAGTTTGTAACGATGCTTTTATTCGTCTTCTTGTAAATGGAATCTTTCCTGGTCTCATAGTCAACGAGGTAACTTGACGAACCAAGCATGTTTTAGATCATTATAAAACGACAGTATAATATCGTGCGGATCGCGTTTATCATCCATAAAAAAGAACTGAAAAGCCGAGTTTACTTCTTGCTTGGATTTGCAGAAGAAACGCTTTCTTATATTCTTCG